GATAAGCTGTAAAATTCTAGATGCACGGACCTGAATCACGAAAGCATAACCTCACTTACGAAAATACCCTCAATATTACAAATCATATTTAATAAATAATATTTTTCAATTAGTTAGCTAAATAATAGAAAAATGAAAGTACCTGAAGGTACAAGGTACTTTTACGACTATTGTAAAAGATCTCATCAAATCAATGCTAATTGTCCCGAGGCCAAAGAACATCTTAATTGTTTATCATCTATCCTAAAATCAGGCAGGGGTTAAATAGTATCGGATGGACGTGAGCCCACTCGAGTATGACTTAATGAGTAAGTGGTGCGTAAATACAATGCATGAATAACAGGAACAGGGTAGAGAAAACTAGAAATTGAATTATTTTGGGATAATCTTTTTAGGTACACGTCAGAGTACAGGTAGCCAAGACAGCAGAGCGCCCTAACGCCACCTTTGATTACCCAAAAGAAAGGCAAATAATTTTAATATCTCCAGATTGCAACCTGAATTGTCGTGGTGTCAACTCTGATTCTCACACTACGTAAATGTAGTGTAAGTTATGGTTCTTAAAAATCAGGTGGCGGAAAATGAACAGATGTTTGAAGCCCTTGAAACATCTCCAGGAAACCTTGGTGTTTATCATAAAATTTAGAGAAAAAAAACATGCTTCAATAGACTCTCTAAATCACTCTTTATATTTTTAGCTTTCCAAAATGACCTTTCTCACTCTTCACTTTTTGAGAGGCAAGATGACTCTAATAAATACTATAAATGGCGGTTACTCAGATTTTTTTTTCATAAAAAATTAGATAAGTTTTGAAGTATTGTGGACAAAGTTGAAAAATCAGTTAAAGACACGAGAGATAAAAAAAATTATAGAGCTTCTCGGAGTTGTTATTATTTAGTTATTGTAAACCCCCAAAAGATGGTCATAGCGAGATGAGAGAAGCGACTCGATCTTGCGAGACGACTGACCACGGGCATAAACAGATCGAATACGATCGGATACCTACGCATACGAGTACGGATGGCTACAACAAACCTTTGATTTGGATTCAATTATAGATATTGTAGATAAGATATGAATGAATATCGATATCATATATATCTAAATATAATAAGTATACAATGCGAATACAAAACCGGCGTATTCAAATATGGTACATTTTATTCGAATAACGTCCACAACGTTGCAAAAAGTCGATGCTGAAACTCTCTCTCTCTCTATTTCAGCATCGAGTCATACCATTGTGGGCCATGCTGAGTTGAAAAAAAAGCTAGCACCGAGGCATGTTCTTTGCTTCGATGCTGAGAGAGTAAAGAAGTACTCCGTATTTCTTAGCCGGCGTTAATGCTTTCTCATGTACCAGATGCTTTCTCATGCACCAGAAACAGTGGATCTGACACAAGTCTATCTAGGTGGTGGGTGCATGCACGTCGATGCACAACGTTGTGGTGTTTGGGCATTTTCTCAGCATCCATCTAGGGCTCGTTAAGTTTTTTCTCTAAAGTTTAGTCCCTATCACATTAAATGTTTGATATATACATAGAGTATTAAATATAAATTAAAAAATAACTAATCGCACAGATTATGACTAATTTACAAGACGAATTTTTTAAGTCTAATTAGTTCATGATTTAACAACATAATGCTACAGTAATATTTACTAATGATGGATTAATTATGCTTAATAAATTCGTCTAATGAATTACTGAAGACTTCTATAATTTATTTTATTATTACTATTCAAACACTTACCTATAATACCTGGATGTGATACCAACGTGACACGACTTTTGATCTCTGGATTTAAACACCACCGGCATGAGCATTAATTTTTTCAACACCGGACACATTGCGGGTAGTTAACGGAGCCGATCAGAGAATATCTGTACCACACTGACGCCCTTAGCAGCGCGGCGCTCACAGTGATGTGATGTGCATATTCAGCTTCGCTCGGCGTCGTGCCCCGGCGTCGCAGCGCAGCTGACAAAAACGACGAGCTGTCAAATCGAACGGCACGTCGGCACCTGGACTGGGCTTATACCCGCAAAGGGCGCGGGTCGGTGCGCTCTCTTGCCGCCCCTCCGCTCCGTTTCAACGTGTTGGTCGAACCGCCCCGCTTACTGATAGATCCGCGGGGCATCTTAGTGTCAACCGGCCAATAGCACAGTTCGACCCTAATGTGTCCCATGAGCCATCAAGTTTTAGCATATAAGCGGGGCGGTCCAACCCTGAACCTTTTACATGTTGAAACGTAGCGGAGGGGCAGCAAAACCCACACCCTTTGCAGGTATAATAGACATGGCTCGGAAGTCTGGAAGGCTGGAATGGAATGGATGGACAATGGAAGCAGACAGACATTACATCAGTGCAGGTCAGTTTGGCAGCACGCCGAGGAAAACAGCAATCCAAATCCAAATTGCTCTAGGCACCTTGCTCCAGCCGCAGAAAGTTTGTGGCCGTCCACTGTCTGAGCTTAACAAGTGAAAACTGTTCGAGAACTGCAAATTTGCAACAGAACAAGTGGTAAATAGTAAACTTTGGAATTGGGAGTGAGCGTGACATATTGTACAGGACGGGACGGGGCATGCTGTTTTTCTTTTCTGTAGTGAGCTTAATTAGTGCTGGGATTTGGTCACTTGTCGCTGCGCAAGGAAAAGCTGTAAAGCATCGATCGACCTGTTCTTTGGTTTCTATGCTGATAAACCCGATTGGTGCTAATTCGTTGTGAGAGAAAAACACTATTGGCTGACTGATAAGTCTTGGCTGAAACCAACAAACGAACAGGCTGAATAAGCACGCACGTTTATAAAATAAAAAGGGGCAGCTGTTGTGAGTCCCGGCCGCCACAACTCGAAAGGGGTGTGCAAATTATTGAAAAAAGCAATTCTCGCGTTGTTAGGTCCAAATGTCATCTGACGTTCACTGAACATAACCTGATCAATAATCAGCCTGTTTGCTTGCTCGTATACGATCGTGGATTATAAGCTAGAACATTATTTTTCTCTCACACCAAACCAGCTAACGGTAAATAATCCACGATCGTTTACGCCCTGCCGAACTGGCTGAATAATGCAGTACCGGTGAACATAATCATGGCCAACGACGAAAATAACACCACCAACGAGCTCATTTCTCGTGTTGGGTGGGAAGGTGTGGAGGAGGGCTGGGAAGGCAGTGGCGTCTTGAATCGTTGGGTTAGTGAGTGAGGGTGTGGAGAAAACGAAACAAGGGGAAAAGTTGAATTAGAGTTTTGTGTAGATTTAATAACGACCCAAAATGCACGTGTGGAAGGAGAGGTAAATGCGAGGGCGGCCGTAGACAACCCAGCAGGGTTTGGAAGTGTCAGGTCCAAATACGTCGTCTGATGTTCACTGAACATAAACGCACTCAATAAAATCGCTGAACACGATCATGGCCAACCACGAAATAGCAATACGGATGGGCTCGTTTCTCATGTGCGGTGCTCTGATCTGTCCGTGCTGGCGTAGTGGCCAAACACATCACCTTTTCTTTTGCCTCCTCGCTTTGGGTTGGACCTGCACATTCCGTCACTAGACACCAGTGGCTCTCTGCTTTAACGCACTGCAATGCGATTTGACGGGGATCAAGATACGACACTGACAATAGTAATCAGGAGGAATCGGAAAGAGAAAAAAGAAAAGGATAGAGATGGATGAATCAGCCGCGAGGGCATGCATATCCGTTGTTGCATCGAGAAGCATCCCCGTTTGGCATGGCACGGCGCTCACCTTTCTCTAGTGTGCGTAGTGCCTAGTGCGTAGTAGGGCCGGAGGATAGATAACATAAAGAAAGCGCGGCTGCTGCTACGGTGTAAAGAAAGGTTTGGGCCAATTTCGTTGGTGCGTGAACCTGGCTGTGTTTTCAATAATGCCATGTTCCGAGGCAAAAGGGATGCATGTAGGATGCCATTTTTTGCATGGACCACACCATGTTTGAATGCCGTGTTTTGAGAACCGCAGTATCGGTGCGAGAAACATTAATGTAGAACAGTAGAGGTGCAAAACAATAGGTTAGAAAAAAGAGGTTTTCTAGAACAAAAAAAAAAAAAATGCCATGGTTTTCAAATGTACAAAGATCGTTGCATCCAAATACTTCATAGTTTTTTCAAAACCAAAGCATTTCACAAAACCTCAGTAATTTCAAAAATGCTTTGCATCCAAACAAAGCCCTGTTAGAATGTTGGAGTATCAAGAAACTATAGGTTTAGAATCCATAGGCTTAGAAACCTGTGGTTTAGGGGAAAAAAGAGATCTAGAGTGTGGGGTTTTAAAACTCAAAAGGCCATAGTTTATGAACACTTGGTTTTCAAAGCTATAAAAGCCTTTTGCGTCCAAATACTTTATTGTACTCTAAAATCTAAGTATTTTATTACAAAACCATGATATTTTTCTAAAACTTAAAACACTTTCAATTAATATAGGGACAAAGCCTTTCCTCATGCATAATTGCCTCTACCACAAAGTTCCAGATTTCTCCGGATATGAGGTGGGGGAGAGGCCAAGATACAGATTGGTAGCTTTCCTTTTCGTTTTCTATGGAAGTTTCTTTAATTTTTAGCTGGAAAGTTGACGGCTTTTTGCTACTATACTAGAAGGACAGAGCTTTGCAGTCAAGCGCGGTCCGGTGGTCGAAGAATAAATTTGCGGCCCAAAAGTGGATCGCGTGTCGCTGGCAGCCCACGCAAAAACCCAGCCAAGCCAATACTGGGCCGAACCGATGCCATCCTGTTCTTCCTTTTGCCCGGACAAAAGCCTGCTTCCAGCCCACGACTGTACTTCGAACCGGCCCAGCGGTGGCCGATCCGGTCCCCGCACAAGGCGTGCGGTCGAAGAAAGAAATTTAATAAAACGGCGGCCGAGGCCGCAAGCCAACCCACGATTTTTTCTCACTAGTCGCAACTCGCAAGCAAATCGAACGAACCCAACCCAGTTACCCAGCCGAAGCGAGAGCTGAGCAACGCGAGGCGGCGTCACCGGCGATGGAGCGGCTGCAGCGGATCTTTGGCGCCTCCGGCATGGGGCAGCCGCCGACGGACTCGCCGCTGCTCGACTCCTCCGAGCAGGTCTACATCTCCTCCCTCGCGCTTCTCAAGATGCTCAAGCACGGTGCGTGGATCCACCCTCTCTTCCCCGCCCCTCCCCTCGAAACTAGGGTTAGGGTTAGTCTCCGTTTCCCCCCGGTCTTGGTCGCGCTCGGGGGACTGATGCGTGGTTTCCGTCGCAGGGAGGGCGGGCGTGCCCATGGAGGTCATGGGCCTCATGCTCGGCGAGTTCGTCGACGACTACACCGTCAGGGTCGTCGACGTCTTCGCCATGCCGCAGAGCGGGACTGGGGTCAGCGTCGAGGCCGTTGACCACGTCTTCCAGACAAACATGCTTGACATGCTCAAGCAGACCGGCAGGTAGGGTTCGGCTGCCGATTCTCTCAGTGGATCTGTAATCCATGCATGCTTTTTTTTCTTTCAATTTTTAGTTTTATTGGTTCACATTTAGTGCTTGATTTGCTCGTACTAGTAGTTAGTAAAATTGTGTAGGGTCATGCTCTTGAACTGCATCGAGGTCCAGATATGTGTCTGTTGGTTGCAATGTTGTTTCTTGTTTGGATTAAATTGAGGTTGTTTTGCTGGCTGTGCATAGTAATTTCGAAGTATCACCATAATCTGAGCTCCTCAGATTAAGATAAATGAAAATAGAATTTTTTTTGGCATGGGCAATGGCATTACTAATAGTTACTAACTTGGTAAAAAAATACTTAGCACATTTGACGTGGTAAAAAATACTTAGCACATTTGACTTCGCATGGTCTTCAATACGATTATATTCTTAAAAGTTCATGTTATACATATAGAATAGATGATGTCTGTATTTTGATGCTTTGATTACCCATGTAATTTTGTTCATTACAAGCTCATCTTACCTACAAATATTTTACTATGATGGTGCCCACAAGTTATATGGTTTGAATCCTGATGGACTTTCTGCATAAATGATTTGAGAGATAATGATAGTGTTGTAGAAGTCTGATCACAATCCTTCAAAATCTCACTCCAGAGCAAGTTAATAGTTTATAAAACACACAGTAATGTTAAAGATCAATACACTGAAAAATTGCAGTGGCCTGAATGGGTTAAGCATTAGCCTGTATGGGCTAAGCATTATGTTAATGTTTCATAATGTTATTAAAAATGTCCCTGCTGTGGGTTTGTTTGAGACATAATATCTGTGGCCACATATTTAGTTGTTTTTCCTAATTGTAAGACTATGCATAAATGTATCTACCAATTAATCATTAAAATATTTTGTAAACATAATATCTTTTTTGGAAATTAAAATTTGTTTGCCATATTGCCCTAAAAATTGTTTGCACACACAGTTTTTTTTGGAAGTTGACATCTCATATTTGTAAATGGAACTTTGTTATGTTGCAGCCTGTATTTTAAATATTATTACCAGCTTTAGATTGTGCAACCTACTTACTCCCTCCATTCCAAATTATAAGTCGCTTTGACTTTTTTGTTTCATCCATTTGACTATGTATCTAGACATATTATTATATCTAGATGCATAGCAAAATGGATGTACCAAAAAAGTCAAAGCGACTTATAATTTGGAACAGAGGGAGTAGTTGCTATTCAATTGGATTATTTGAGAAGAGTTCGCATTGATTTTCTTGATACATGAATTATGCACTCATGTTTTTTAATTATGCAAACAGTCGGAGGTTGTTGTGGCTCATACATGGCATGTGGCACACGCCTTCTTGTGTATCATAAAAGTTTATGAACTATGTTTTTTGTCGGCCATAAATCTCTTTGCTTAATGCTGTCTTACTCAGGTATGCAAGTAGGTTTGCTTGTGCAAAATAACCAGCTTAAAATGGCCCATTTGTGGGTTCACTGACAAACCCACTTGCATTCCTAGTATTAAATCAATATTGTTTTTACCCGGTTATATTCTGTAGGAAAACAAGTATGTTGAGATTTTTTTTCCTTTTATTACAGGCCAGAAATGGTTGTAGGCTGGTATCACTCACATCCTGGCTTCGGTTGCTGGCTATCAGGCGTTGATATCAACACTCAGCAGGTCTATGCAAAACCACTTGTCTTCTAAGAGAGGTCTTTTGACTTGGTCTGCCAAAATAGGATAGCTGTTGTTGTCCCACTCTGTTATATGTTGTTTCATGAAATACTGATGTGCTTTTCGTAATAAAACATGGATATGATAATGTGCTATACTATTAATGATCAACTGGAGGCAGATTTTCGTTTCCCCTATTGCCTATGTTTTCAATTTCACTACCTTTATTGTGTAGGTTCCATTTCTCCCTGAAAGTTATCGGCAACTTATCTTGTTGGTAGTTTATTTAGTTAACCTCGCCAGGGATACATGTTTTTTTATTTATATAAAAGAAAAATGAGAGACATTGGCTAATTATTGATCCCAACTCACTGGAGTTTTTCTTCTATCAACTACCTTTTGTACTTTTTGCATAATCTGTTTTGTATCTTATTCTATATATTCTATATGATCTGGGTATGGTAATGATAGGATAAGTTACATAGTGCCAAACACTGTGCACTCATAGGCCTGTTTAATATATAAATGTGCAGAGTTTTGAAGCTTTGAACCCCAGGGCGGTTGCTGTTGTGATAGACCCCATCCAAAGTGTGAAGGGAAAGGTGGTTATTGATGCATTCCGCCTCATTAATCCTCAGACCATGATGCTTGGCCAGGAGCCACGGCAGACAACATCAAATGTTGGGCACCTAAATAAGCCATCTATTCAGGTAAATACTAAGTAATATTGTATCATATGAACTTTTTTTTCCTATAAATAATTTGACCATTCTGTTCTTTATCAGGCTCTTATCCATGGGCTGAACAGACACTATTACTCAATTGCAATCAATTACCGGAAAAATGAGCTTGAGGAGAAAATGTTGCTGAACTTGCACAAAAAGAAATGGACCGATGGGCTAATTTTGAAGAGGTTTGACACTCACTCGAAAACCAACGAGCAGACTGTCCAGGTGCCTATACTACCCAGCTTCCTTTAGCTGTATACTCAGATGATTTTTTTCTCCTTGTTGATGCTTTATACTTTAAGTATTTCTTTTGTTTTGTTATTTGATATATTGTGTCTATTCTTGTCTAGGAAATGCTGAACCTAGCCATCAAGTACAACAAGGCAGTGCAAGAGGAGGACGAGCTGCCACCTGAGAAACTTGCGATAGCAAATGTGGGTCGGCAAGATGCAAAAAAGCATTTGGAAGAGCATGTGTCGAACTTGATGTCATCAAACATAGTTCAGACCCTAGGAACCATGCTCGACACGGTTGTCTTTTAGTCTGCTAATAATATTGTTGTTCCAAGCTGAAACATAGCCACCCTACCTAAGCTTATCAAAGCATGACACACATGCAATGAGCTTGACGCCAGATACATTTTGGTCCTAAGGTTTGTTTATGAATAGATTTGTCTACGATTCATTGTTGTTAAACTCCTTGCCTTTTCTATCAAACCTGCAGTGTGTTCTAGTTACATTTAAGCCAGTGAGGGTCCAGATGTCAGTTGGGATGTCATTGCCTTGGGAGAATTGTGTAATGCGACTGACCTGTTGTGAGGGCCGTGGCAGATGGCTTATTGTGTTTGTTCTATATCTATATGAATTGACACCACATGGGATTTGTGTATCACAAGAATTGAGTGATCTCATAAACAACTCAATCTATTCCGAGCATGGCCTTGAGATGTTAACTGGTGCCATGCACTGGAGTCATGCAGCTTGTTCAGCTGGTGCTGATACGATCATGGATTATTACTGCTGGCTGGTTTGGTGTGAGAAAAATATTGTTCTGGCTGAAAGGTTTGGTGTGAGAAAAATACTGTTCTGGCTGGAAATTTACGATCGTTTACGACCAAACGAATAGGCAGATGATTTTTTTTACGATAATGACCCTTAGGGCGTCCGTCCTTTTGGACGGGACCAACCCGCTTGCCCCCGCGTCTCGCGCCACGGACCCTTGTCCGTGCCTCGCGTTGTGCGCCCCCGCATCTTGTGCCACGGACCCTCGCCCGTGCCTCGCGCTTCACGCCACGGTCGCGATCCATCCGCCTGTCGACATGGGTGACCTCAAGCTCCGTGCTGGCATCAAGCTCTGCGTCAATGAGCGTCCATTGGCAGGCAGTAAGTAAATGAACACATGTTGTAGCCGTATGTGTTTTAGATATATGTTGCATATGTTTCATCCGGATGTTGCAAAAGTAGATCTGGTATTGCATATGTTGCAATGACTATACATAATGTTGCAAGTGTATGTTTTAACTGTTTTAAACGTATGTTGTAAGTGTTTTATCTGGATGGTGCATATGTTGCACTGGCTATACACGTATGTTGCAAGTGTATGTTTTAAATATTTTAGTTGTTTCAAACGTATGTTGTGGATGTTGCATATGCTGCAGTGCTCATACATATATATTAAGCGTATGTTGTAAATGTTTCATCTATTTCAGACGTATGTTGCAGCAAATGCTATATGTAGTAAGTGTTCTATGACCAGGCGTGGCAAGAGGGCGTAGGCGGAGGTGGTCTCCTTGGCGCAGCGGTCCCCATCGCGTGGGAAGCGAAGCGGACGCGGAGCACAAAGCTATATCCATGGACGTGGCAACAGGCGTGGAGCATGAAACTGCATACATGGGCGGGCAATAGGCGCGGAGCACGAAGCCGCATCCATGGGTGGGCAGTAGGCGCGGAGCACGAAGTTGCATCCATGGACGGGCAACAGGCGCAGAGCATGAGGCGAAGCGGAGCATGAAGTTGCATCATGGGCGCCTTGAGGGTATCATTATTGAAAATGGATGGGTAGCAGACACGGGAGTCTAAACGTCCAGTCGCTAGTCTCTCCCTTTTTTGACAAAACTTAGTAATCGGACGTGGACACATGAGCTCCAAGAATTTTGTATCAAACACGGATATATGGATCCAGTTTTCATATTGAAACCGGATAGGACGTCGACGCGGAGCTCAGAGTAGAGGATGATTTGTATCGGACCGTGAAAGTGCATTTAGCCCTTTAGTGGGTTTTGGATGATTGAGTGACAACGTGATTAAAGGTCTAACCTATTATGCTAAGTGTTGAACAGGTAATAGGTTATGTCACCGGTACTTGATGAAAGCCAAAATAATATGTTGTTGTATAAACAATCTAGTTCAAGCACAAGACAACAATGCAAATGTAATTAATGCAAGGCTTATTCATTGTGAGATTTTTATGAATTATGAGAAAGCAAGGATGTTGTGAATTGATTAATGGGACACGAGGGATTGCATATGGAATGGTCTCATATTTGAAGCTTGCTACATTGAAATAAAAAGTACTTCTATACAAATGATCTTAATAGTTGATTCAACACAAAGTGTGACTTAATGGCTTGAGATGGTGAATATAGCAAGGAAAGGCTTAGAGGTACTGTCGACGAAATACGTCCGGCAGTCCACCGAGGGGTATGCCCATGGTAGTAGATAAATCGGTGGAGGTGCGCGTGAGGGAGCAGGATGGTGACACAGAACGCAAGAGACATCGATTAGACAGGTTCAGTCCGTCAGCTTGATGTAATACCCTATGTTCTATATCTTTATGGATTGTATTGTGTATGATCAGATGAAAATGAGGATCCCTACCAGCTTTATATAGATCGGGGGGTAGGGTTACAGATCGGTTATTTCTATCCTGATCGGTTTTACAAGATAGGAAGTTATAGATATTATGGGATCTGACATATCCGAGCAGGTTTCCTAGATCACCGAAGATCTTCACGTAGTCTTGCGAGGCACGCCGATCTGTGTCGTGCCTCGCACGACGTCGTCTTGTAGGCTAGGCCTCCATCAGTGGCGTGGCCCATGCACAGTCTTGTGGGCTGGACCTCCCCTAGCGGCTCAACCCATGTACAACCCTGCTGGTATCAGGGGTTATACCCTCACAGCTAGTCCCCGAGCGGCTTGCATCCGTTGAGCAACACCATCTTAGCTTGTCCGAGCTGTTGAGCATGCATCCGAGCTGCTGAACATGTCGTCTGAGCTGTTTGACATGCATCCGAGCTGTCTAAGCATACGTCCGAGCTGTTCGTCTGGTTGCTAGAGCCGAGCACACTCGAAGCCAGGTTTTGTCACAAGGATGTAAGGAGCTCAAGTAAAAAAAATTCAAAGTCTCCACCTTAGGTGAAATGTGCCCACTTAGGTTTCGGGCGTCGAAGTTGGTCGCATGGCATCCTTGACTTAGTTAGCGTGGAAGAACTTAGCCATTTTGTAGAAGATTAAGTCGAAAAATAAGCACATTCACCGCGAGGTGAAGTGTGCCCACTTAGTCACTGAGCCTGGCAGTAGGTAAAGTAGTCACGTGGTGCTAGGGTCCAAAGTAGTGGTCTTTAGGTGTTGGCCCAGTCCCCAATGTCGCTGGAAACTAGTGTAGAAATAAATACAATCATCGCGAGATGACGTGTACACACGTAGTCCCCGAGCTTGCTAGAAGATTACGAAGAAATCTTGTAGTAGGGTGAGAGAAAAAAATATCATGTCGTAGCAACGCTCAACATTGAATATCAACCCGTGTTTGACACAGTTTGACGCGGCGGCCCACCAGGCCCACTCAGCGGCCCAGCGGCGTGCGGAGACGTCGGAAGAGAATGCAGCGTGGCGGGCGCGGTTTCCCAAAAACCCTGGAAGGCGACCCCGGCGCATATTCCTCCCTTTCTCTCTGCCACTTCATCTTCTTCCTCGCGCCCACACCGCTTTGCCTAGCAATTGCTTCGCCATTAGAGCAACCACAAGCACGCAGCCTCCTCCAAGCGACGGATCTGTTGGATGGCGCCCAAAAGAAACCACGGTGGTTCGAGTAGAGCATCATGCAAGCTTAACCGCACCGAGGAATGGGTGGGGTCCGTCAGCAACGAGGTGGCGCTCAATCGGTTGGTGGAGGATGACGTGCTGCCTGATAGGGTGATGGCGGGATGGCGTCCGGCTCGCGGTGAGAGCTTTCCGACTCCTTGCGACGACAAATTAGTAGTTTTTGAAGATTATTTCTATCGCGGATTTGGTGTTCCAATCCATCCATTTCTCCGTGGATTGATTGACTATTACGAGATTAGTCTTTGCAATCTAGGCCTGAATTCCATCCTTCATGTCTCTGTCTTCATCCATTTCTACGAGGCTTATCTTGACATTCTTCCGCATTTTGATCTCTTTCGCTACTTCTTCTGTTTGAAAGCTCCGGGGGATCTAGATCTCGATCTAGGATCATAGGCAGCGCGTACCTGCAGCTTCAGGATGGGATGGTTGGCCAATACATCGCCACCCCATTGAACACAAATGTGAAATATTGGGCGTAGCGATGGTTCTACATGCCACAGGGGGAACACTATGTGGCATGCGACATTGATCAGATTCCCATGAGCAACGCCAAGTGGTCAGAGAGACTTGGTGCTAATAGGATGGAGCAAGTGATGGAGCTGTTGGCATTGATCGACCGAAGAAGGGTGGATAGGGTCATAGTGGCGACAAACTTCACTTTTCGACGATGCCAGCCTAGCAAGGAGAGAGCACATCCCGGATATGAATTCCGGGGAGATATTGATGGGGCCTGTGAGGTGCCCGAGTTGATTAACTGGGATGAAGTCATGCGGTGAATTGGAGTGTTGTTTAACCTCGTAGGGCGCCGTAAGATCGATGATCAGCAGAGGGCCTTCAATGTAGGGACCCTCCCACCACGGGTAAGAGCCTTCTTTTTAGTTTTGCTTGATCCCTTATCTGTTGCAATTGCAATGTACTCATTTGTTTTCCTGAAGATTCATGGGTAGGATCGGTCGGTATACTTCTCGGCGGTGTCGTCAGCTGACTGGCCGAGGGGTGTTGATGCTTGGCCAAGCCGTCCTCAGCGTCGATCTAGCCTAGAGGCTGGTGAGGACAGCTCGACCAACCTTGATGATGGAGATGAAGACGAGCGGACACCGTATGTCCGCGAGAAGCTCCGGGGGAAGCGGCCAGCTGGTGAGGAGCCGTCCCCAAAAAGAAGAAAAATAGCTAGATCATCTCACCGTGAGGACAGGCCAGTAACCATTGTAGCGTCCTCCCTGCCTCAAAGATGGTAGGTGGTGTTGTCGAGCTCGTCAGACAACGATGGATAAGCGATGCGTCCTTCCCTAAGGGCCGTGACACCCCCGCCGTCTGCGCTGGCTGGGGCAGAGACGTGGGAGAGGCGACGGACGCGAGGGGCTACAGCAACAATGCCTGACTGCACAGGGGTAGCACCAGCAGTAGCAGCTCGGGTGGTGCCATCAACGACAGCTCGAATG